TTTTTCCGGATTTCCCCTTCCCGGGTGGCGAGAGGTGACACCAGGTGACAGAATAATTGTCTAAACCACAATAAATTGCTGTGGTTTCCTCAAATTATAACCGTCCCCCGTCCCGCCGGCTGCCCGACCGCCCTCTGCCGGGGCACACCCCGACGGGGGGGACGGGACAGGCCGCTGCCGCCCTCCCCGGGCCCGGACGAGCACCGAGAGCGGGGGGGACGATGGGGGGACACTCACCCTCGCGTACTTGAGCACCTCCTGCACCCTCCAGAAGCGGTCGGTGAGGCGGCTGCGGATCCATCGCTGTGCGCTCAGCAGCACCATCCCCGCGTCCCCTCCGCCGGCGGCGCGGTGTCTTTCCGGGGCGGGGAAGCGGCGGGGGCGGACCCGGGCCCGTACCTTCCGCCGATTGCACCGCCCCGGGGAACGGGCCCCGGAGCTCGGGGAGACGCTGCTGGAACTCCCCGAGTAAAATAAGAATCGTAGAACGGTTTGGGTGGGAAGGGACCCTAAAGATCATGGGTATGTTTAGTTTGGAGAAGAGGAGGCTGAGGGGAGACCTCATGGCCCTCTACAGCTCCCTGAAAGGAGGGTGTGGAGAGGGTTGACCTCTTCTCCCAAGGGGTTGGCCTCTTCTCCCAAGGGAATAATGACAGAATCAGAGGAAATGGTCTGAAGTTGGGGCAGGGGAGGTTTAGATTAGATATTAGGAAGAATGACTTTCCTGAGAGGGTGGTCAGGCACTGGAACAGCCTGCCCAGGGAGGTGGTGGAGTCACCATCCCTGGAGGGATTTAAGAACCATGTAGACATGGCACTTCAGGGCATGCTGTAGTGCCTGTGATTGTTGGGTTGTGTTAGTTTGTGGTTGGGGTTTTTTCTCTAGTGCCTGAGATTGTTGATTTGTGTCTGTTTGGGGTTGGGGTTGGGTTGTTTTTTTTGTTTGGTTGGTTTTTGGGGGGGGTTTTTGGTGGTTGGACTCAATGGTCTCAAAGGTCCCTTCCAACCATGAAGATTCTGTGATTCTGTGATTATCCAGTGCCACCCCCTGCCCCGAGCAGGGACACCTCCCACCAGACCAGGTTGCTCCAAGCCCCCTCCAACCTGGCCTTGAACCCCACCAGGGATGGGGCAGCCACAGCTTCTCTGGGCAACCTGGGCCAGGCTCTCACCACCCTCACACCAAAGAATCTAGTATCTCATCTAAATCACTGCTTTTTCAATTTAAAACCATTACCCCGTGTCCTATTGCTCCACTCCTTGATCAAGAGTCCCTCCCCATGAAATAATAATCTACGTGTACGTAGAGACACGGGGAGGGAGCAGCTTTGCCATTTTGCATTGTCATTTGTCCTGTGAGGTGCTGGAGCTGTTTGTGAAGTTCTGTGAATGCTGTGCTTCACTTGCAGTCACCGTTGAGTTCCCATCTCTGCACCCCTGGGCTAGATCAGGCTGTATCACTAGCAATGCTCAAACGAGTGGTGTTAAAGCAGCAGGAATAGTTTTGGTGTTGTTTTCAGTGACTGGAAGAATTCCATACTGGGTAGTACGCCTTACAGTATCCTGTGGGTAAGAGATTGTGAGATGTAAAATGAGAATTTATGAGCTGTAACAAACCACAAGATGGTGCTGTCATTATAGACAGTGGGAAAATTAATTCTCAGCAGTAAGCGTCTCTGCTGTCGGAGAAGAGAACTAATGAATTTGTATCATCATCTTTAATCATTACCAGTTTCAGCCTCTCAAAGCAATGATGCTCCTGTTAGAAATTGCTCCATAACTTGCACCATCATCAAGACATTTTTCCCACTTACAAGCAGGTACTTGTTAAGGATGTGGAAATTTCACAGAATTAGAGTCCTGGGGACTCTTTCTTACTATCAGTGAAAATTTTAAAATGTAAAAGCTGTGTGGAAGGGAAAGGAATGCAGACTTAATATTTTATTGTTTCCACAAGTATCGAGCTGTTTCCTTTTCCTATCCCTCCTCACTGAAACGTGTATCTTTAACATAGAACAAATCAGCAGGAGGCCTGTGAGATGGGCACAATTTGTTATGAACATCAAGAAACAGATCGTACTGGGTCTGAAAAGAATAAGAATATTACAAAATGTTTTTAAAAAAATGTAAGTGGTAAAAAAATTCTTCAGATCAATCAGCCTGGCTATTCCGAGCTGTTTTCAGTAGCAGAATTATTGATGGTTTCAGTGGGTTTGTAATTTGTTTTTGATTTTAAAACCAAAAACTCTGTAGTGCCCAACACCAGCTGAAGTGATTTTGGGAGAGAATTTTTAGTTGCCCAGTACTGAGTTTGCAATCTTTCTGTGCTTTAAGCGTAGCCTTGATTCTACGCCCTATAGTTTTGGGTTGGGGTGGGTTTTTTTGTGTGTGTGTGTGCACATCTTGTCCTTTCTCCTCTTCGAAGGCATAAATCCAGCTTGAAAAAATATTACAGATTTAAATCAGTGGTTGTTGGACAGACATAATAAATACTGAGACTCCTCGGTAGCCTCCATGCCATTTGTCACATTTATTACATCCAATGGCATCTGTTTTCCCCGCACAGATTGAGGGCTTTATTAACACTGTGGCTGGCCAGTCCGACAGCCGAAAGCAGGATGGATTCAATAGTTATTTCCCTCTGGGTGTCTGCATAGATCTGTGCAGAGATTTCACATTTTGCAGCTGGAGAGAAGGCTGCTACCCCTGCATCCTCCCCCAGGAGCCATTCAGCCTGAGAGCGCAGTGAAGGAAATGGGTGGAACAAGATGAAAATGGACTTTTCACACTCTGATGTCTATTTTAAAGGTTGTTTCTCTCTGTATTTTTTAATATCTCTCTCCCATGCATTTATTACAAAAACATTTTCACAGTTCGTTCCCCTTTCCCAGGGAAGTGGCTGTCCAAACAGAGCTGCTCCTGGGGTTTACAGTCTTGTCAAAAATCAAAATTGATCTGTAGGCTGAAGTGCTTTTGAAATCCATTTTAAACACTTGGATTAGCTGGTACACCTTTCAAAAATATTTCAGTGTGTGACATTCAAAAATGAGAAAGTAGAGGAACATCTTCATATTTGGGAGACGGTTGTCTGTTGGTTTTTGACCAACAATGCAGAGCTGTGGCAAATGGATTTATAGTCTGTTTAAAGAAATAATTTTCAGATACATTTTTCATTTTGAAAAACAAGGAAATCTGTTATTCCCATGCAGCACACTGTGGTACCCAAGATGTTCTTTAGCACTCAGCTGGGTGGGGTAACCAGAGATCAGAACAATCTTTCAGGGGGAGGATATAGGATTGTCAGGGCAGCATTCCACAGGGAAATTCAGCTTATCCTTGTCTCCTTCAACTCCTTTTACTCCATTTTGTGCTTCTGGTTTCAGTTCTCTCCAGTGGGACAGATTTGGGTGGGAAAGTGGAAGGCTGGCTGTGGACAGTCCAACACCAGAGACTCCTGGTGCCTGCTGTCCAAAGGGGAGTAATTGCTTGGTGGATTTCACACTTCTTTTCCCTTACCCTGCTCCTTCAAGTGCAGCTGAATTCAATACAGACAGATGTTGACTTTAATCTGTGCTACAAATTAATGTTTTCTCTTATTTACCAGTATATTCCTTCTGGAACAAATCAGGATCCAGGCTGCTGGCAGCGCTGCCAGTCTCAGAGTCTATTTTTAACCTTCTTCCCCTCTCTTGGCACATCAACTATTTTTTTTCTCCACTGAGACAGAACTCAGCAGAAAGAATAAATAATAACAAACAAAACAGATTAATTAAATTCGGTGTCACCTTCAGTGCTAGAGGAAATAAAATTACTTGAGAGAAACCTAGTTTAAGTCATTAGCAGCAGTCCCTGGTGAGGAACAGTGCAGCTCTCTCTGCCTTGGATGAAGAACGGGTCTCTCTCTAGCTCCAGAGTGATGCTGTGTCCTTCCCCTTTTGCTCTCTGGGGTGAAAGGCTTTTCCCTCCAGCCAGACAATACCAAACAATGAAACACATCCAGCCCAACCAAACTCCACCACGGCCAGGGGAATCACTTCCCTTTATCCATTTGGGATGAATATCAAGCAAAACCAATATTAAAGAAAAGCTACTCTTGTACCATTTGCTAAATACAAAGGATTCTAGTTCCCACTTCTATTTTCTCCTTCTGAAAACATCACAAAGGAGCTAGAATTTTCCATTAATAACAAACCTTCCACTACCTTTTCCACAGTTTGGTCCAAAAAGATCTTTCATGACTCAAAGTAGGATGGTAGGAGATGGGAACCAAGGGCTGAGGCAGGGATGGCCCATCTTCATAACTACAAGCAAAGTCTCCCTTCTCAGTTCCACCACCTTTTCCACAGTTTGGTCCAAAAAGATCTTTCATGACTCAAAGTAGGATGGTAGGAGATGGGAACCAAGGACTAAGGAAGGGATAGCCCATCTTCATAACTACAAGCAAAGTTTCCCTTCTCATCACAATCCTTTATCTGGGGTGTGAGGATCCTCAGGGCACCAATAAACCTCAATGGTCCTGATAAGCATCAGCTGAGGGTTCCATCCACACCCTCTGCCCTGGGGCCTATTTAAGCTCAGGCCTGGGAATTTTCCTTTGCTCTGAGTTGCTGTTGAGGGTGTACACCTTCTGGGACTAGTTAGGCTACTACCAAGGCTGGTTGTGGACCTTGTTCCTGGATTCTGCACTGTGGACTGACTTTCTGGCTTGACTTTGGACATGCCTCATAATTGTAAGCTTGTCTGAAGATTTCTTGGTTGAACCTGACCATCATTTCTGAGTCTGCTGGTTTTACCTTGCTTAAGTTCTGTGGGGATGGAGCCTTTGTTGGCAATCCTTTGTCTTTCCAGTGGGGGTATTGCACTTGGCTCTCCATCTTTTGTGGAGAAGCAAGAACTTAATTAATGCTAAGCTTCTAGCAGCCTTTTCTGGCTGAAGTTTTGTGTCTTTCTGATGGGCTTTGAGGTGCGTCAATGGTAAGTGCAGAACAGTGTCCCACATAGTTATGAATTATTTCTGCTGTTAGTAGCAATGATACCCCTGAATTGTGATCTGGTACAAATTAGCCAGATAAATTTTTACTGCTAGTTACTGATAGAGCTGAAGTTTGTGAGACCCTTTTGGATGCCTAAGAGGCTCTACAAGAAGATCTATAGGAAAAAAATGAAGTGGTAAATGTGGACCAACTAATAATTTTCATAGCTGGGGAACTGCATGGACATTGTATGTATTCATACATTGAACTGTATGGGGAACAAGTATGGACATTGTTCAGCTGTTTAAAAGCTACTTATTTGTTTTAAAATGCTGCCTTCTCACAGGTATTATTATACCTTTGAGAGCTGTATCCTCATGCAGCTTTTCAACTCACTTCAATTTTAAAGCCTCAGTCTTGTTATTGATTGCATGTGGCGGGTTGCAAATAGTCTCCATTTGTCTCCCTGCTTTCTCTCTACAAGTAGTGTGTAACGCTCTTCTGGCCCAGGGTGAGAAGGTAATTTCAGCATCAAGAGGACAGAATCTACTTGATTAGAAGGCAATCCTTCTGGCAACATGGGCCTGTATCTTTGCAGGGTGGAATTTTACTTCCTGCAGCCAGGAAGATGACTCATATGACACATATGTGCCTTCTAATGGAAATAATGGCCTGTGACTTGGGAAGCTATATCCAAATTTTAGCTTTGAAAGAAGCTTGGGAAACCCTTTCGACTCCATGTGTGCCTGTTGCCTGGTTCTAAATCTCTCTGGTACTAAAGCAGTACCAGAAATCAGTAACAGTCTGCCATGAGTGATGAATATTGAGCTCAGGTTACTGTGTTTGTGTTGCCCTCCTCACCCCTTCCTAGTGGTGTAGCTTTGTCAGAGGCTGCTGCTGAGCTGTGGATGTTTGGCATGTGATTGCCCCTGGTTCATGAACCCCAATTTACAGAGGCTGCTGCTGAGCTGTGGATGTTTGGGATGCAGCTGCCCCAGGTTCATGAACCCCAACTTACCATAGAATCATGGAATGGTTTGGGTTGAAAGCGACCTTACAGGTTCCAACCCCCCTGCCCTGGGCAGGGACACCTCCCACCAGACCAGGTTGCTCCAAGCCCCCTCCAACCTGGCCTTGAACCCCTCCAGGGATGGGGCAGCCACAGCTTCTCTGGGCAACCTGGGCCAGGCTCTCACCACCCTCACCCCAAAGAATTTCTTTCTAGTATCTAAATCTAAACATCCCCTCTTTCAATTTAAAACCATTACTCCTCGTCCTACCATCTGGTAGAGCTCTTCTAACAGGCCACCAGGAAATGCTTCAATTTAAAACCATTACTCCTTGTCCTACCATCTGGTAGAGCTCTTCTAATGGGCCACCAGGAAATGTTTCATAAACAGATCTGTCTGAGTCCTTGGGGAACCTGTTGTAGCCTTAATTCTGCTGTGCATATTGCTACAGCTGGCCAGTAAATAAGTAAGGCAGATGTAAACATACCAAAACACCCAACAATGGCAGGGGGGTGGGTCCCCAAAATGTACAATTTTTAACAAAAACATTTAATGAAGGAAAGCTAGCACTCATATGTATCGTAAAATCACGATTATTATAAGATCACTTTACATTTAGTATTGTGTGAATCTCATTTTTCTGATGACCTTCTTCTAGGGCAGAACATTCTGAGAGAAATAGCATCGAGTGGAACACGGGACTCCTGGATTCCTTCCCTGAGCTGTGCCTTCTGCTGAGACCTGTGCTACCTCAGTTTCCTCTGCAGGTAGGGAAATTTCCTCCCTCCTGCATATATGAGTGTATCTAAAAGGCTACGTAAGTGTGCAGATATCCCTCAAATTCTGAAATAATTTTGATCATATGAGGCAGATGAAATAATTGATAATTGCTGTGCCTTCGCTACAGGAATATCAATACAATTTGCAAACAGTAACAGTGATGACTGCAGAGAACAAGATCTCTGAGGTAGATCGGGCTTATTGTCAATTTCTCTCAGGCTTTTTTTTTAATCTAGAGAGAAATTGTTGAGAATGAATCAGAGGCAGAATAATTAAAAGGGATCATCTTGACCTGGGAATGTATGGTTTTGAGCGTGGCTCTTGCTTTGCTGTGGCGCTAAATCAGCTTAGCAGTGAGAGAGATGTCAAGGATTGGCTCGCACAGAAAGCAGCTTCAGAAACCCACTCTGTAAACAGAGCAGCGTCAAAGCTCAGAGAGGAAAGACACTGCTTGGCTTGGAGTGTCTGTGAGTGCAGGCAGCGGAGAGCACTGACACCACTCGCCGTTCCAGGCTTTGCTCCCAGCTCTGCCAGGTGTGGGCAAGGACTCCTGCAAGGCAGGGAGTGGAGAAACAGCTGCTCTTCCTTCTCTTCACCGGTCACCTCGTTTGGATGAGACTTGAGCAGGAATATTCACTTGGGTACAGGGTGAAGAGCGTGGAAAGATGATTTGAAGTCAAAGAACTGTCTGAAAGTGCCTAAGCCTGGTATTCTCAGCAAACAGCAGTGCTCAAAGGTGGTGGAAGATACTCAAGTGAGGCACTCTCTGGAGCCAAGCAGCCTATCAAAGCTAAGACAGCAACTCTTTGGGACCTCTTGGGATCATAATCCTAGGAAGAACAACAAATAATTCAGGAGTGCTATGGATTCAAAAGCAAAACAATAGCCATTGCCAAACTTGAGCAGCCACATCTGCTTTAAAACTGAGGTTGGGACACAGCTGAAAACGTTCTGAAAGGAAATAACCTGTGTTGGCCAGATCCTGGGAAAGCAGGTGGCCCAAAGGGGGCTTTCCTTCCTTGCTCCATTATGATCTCTGGTTGAGTGTTCTTGTCCACGTGTGGAAGAGGGCAAGCTACTTCCCAGGTCTGTTGCCAAAAGCAAAGAAACTATTTTGGATAAGAGTGTGGGCTGATTAGCAACCTTTTTGAAGAATGTCTGGCCATGACTCTGAGGACTTTGGAACAGAAAACGTCTCGGAGAAGTCTAGGATGATTCCTAGCCTTCCACCGTATGACATGAATGACCAGCTCCTTCCCAGGGAGCCCCGGAGTGCCTGGTGCTGCTTGGCATGGACCCTGGTGGTAGCCACCATGAACTTCTTGGTCTTTTTAATGAATTTGCTCCTGATGTTTGCTATCTTCACTATTGTCCTGCTTCCTACCATCGTGGTGGTTTACTTTGGCTTCCAGTGCCACTCTCGGGTAAGTGAGCCTTGCTCCACTTGGCTGCTGAGAGCCACCTCTAAGGTGTTTATTTTAGAATAGCAGCTGTAAAGACAAGGCTAGACACCCTGAGCTTTGGGGTTGTTTTCATAAGGGGTGTGTATGTGTATAGACTTTCTTCGAGGCATGTATAGACTGGGCTGAGGAGCATGTTTATGGTGGTTTGTGCTGTGCCACAAGCTCGTTGATTGTAGAAGGGAGCAGTCTCTCTGCTCAGTGACACAGCTATCAGCAAGGCTGGCATGTACATTTGTTTAGGGAAGTACAGGCTTTATAGTTTCCAGACTCATTATCTTAAAGTAGTTGGTTGGCACCCACACGTTGTCAGTAGCATGGACAGAAGCTGCCTGTGACTGCCCAGCTCCTCCTGGACTGAGATGGAGTGAGACCCCTTGGTCCCAATCCCCTCTGCACTGCACTTTGTACAGTTATTTAACTGTAAAATGATGAGAGATAAATCTATAGTAATGCACAACAAGCTTGCATGAGATGCCAGTCTTGTGGGCACCTCTGAGTGCTGGCAGGAGTGAGTTAAATACATTTTTACCTGTCACTTCTTCCAGTATTGTGGGAAATGGAAGCTTAATTGGGCAGTATAGTTATATTCCTGTGAAAATAATAAGAAGCTGTGACAGGTCAGGTGAATACACTCCCTGGCTTGGTAGAGTTGCTGTTTGCATTTTAATGTCACAATATTTCTCTGTTTTCTGTGACCTCTGTTACCTGAACTCTGTAATTCACCCAGGTCCTGCATGGGCTCTAATAGGATTTTTATTGCTCTGAAATGATGACAACTTGTAGAGCTGCTGTTACTGAAAAGCTTTTCCTGATCCTGCAAACTAACGAGCAGGGAGATGTCTGTCCTGGTGATTGCTCTGTACAACAGGGCAGACCCAAGTGCTGCTGCTGGTTGGAGTGAAGCATAATTCATAGAGAAGTCACTTACCCCTGGACCAGGCAATTCCCACTGTGGCTCTGACACCTTCTGGAGATGTTTTGCTATGGGATGTGAATGTGTGGAAGGCTCTGGAGGGCCTACAGAGGGCAAAAGTGTTTCAGAGGGGTCCTGATCCCTGGTAGTCAGGAAAACCTCCTGCCTTGTGGGTTGCAACACTTTCCTTTTACAGTCTGTGGCTGTTAGGATTCTCACATACAAAAGGACAGGTGCGTAGAATGACTTTTGACTTATTGCTTGTGAAGACTTACCCTTCAATAACCTAATAAATTATCCTTGGGAGAAAGTTCAGTGTGGGCCTTGGTAAAATGCTGGTCTGTCTCCACAAGTTCAGTGCAGGTGCAGACTCTGTAAGACGTGAGGCTTTTTAGGGTAGGGTTAAAATGAGATTGTCTGTGAAGCCCTGAAATAAATTTTTCCTATGATCTGAAACTGGTCCTTGAAAGTCATACATAGGGACCTCAAATTAGACCCAAAATGGGGAAGAAGTATGAGGACTGCAGTGCAGAATTACCCCTTCCAGCTTCACTCTGCTCGACTCTCACCTTGGAAAACCTCAAGTTCTGCTTTGCACACACAATGCTCTCCAGTCAAAGGCTTGACAAAAGAGATGCAAAATGTTTTCGAGTACAGTCAGGTACATCAGCAGTGAAAGCAGCGTGTTGCTCTTAGCTGTAAGGACTCTTTCAACCCAGACTTCTCTTCAATAGGCGTAGAGAGGGATTGCAGCAATATGGCTTGACAAGAGCAGTCCTTTCTCTTTGGGCTACTGCTTTTCAATGCCTTCCTAGTAGCCAGAGGCCAATTTCTGTACTGCAGATCCATTAGATTGATTTTATTATATTTTTTTTAAAATATGATGGGTTGTGTTTCTTGTACTGCTGAAAGAATATGGCAAAAGGCAAGGCAGCTGGAGGACGTGGGGGTTGCCTGTAGCATTTGATAATGCAGGACATCTGAGTGGCTCGAGTCGGATCTCCTGCTGCCAGGATGAAAGGAGGCCTTTAAATGCCACTCAACGAGGACCAGTTAATGTGCTGGATGCTTTACAGCAGCATGGGGTGAATGGGCTTTCCTGGCAGATCTTGCAGTGGGAGGAGATGTGAGGAGGTAGAAATGGGTACAGCGTGTACACAGAGGAGAGAACACAAAGGGTCTGTTCCAGGGCAGGCGTCTGGAGAGGCTCCAGCCAGCGGGTAGCTGTGGAACGACCAACCTCTGTCTGCAGAATTGAAAAACATCCTACTGTATTTTATTTACACTGCTATAATTTCCAGTGTGTTGTGCCACCCACACTGATGCAGCAGCAGGAGGCCTTTTTATTTGGTTTCTGCCTATCAAATCTAAGCTGTGCTCTTCTGATGACTTAATAAAGATTAGTGTTTCCTGCTTCGGGATCAATGTGCACTGCTCTCTTATTGCAGTGAGGGTGAAATAATTGAGAGCTTGATTAAAATGTCAGTCACATAGCATAGCCTGAAGATTGCTGGGCTCAGCTTGGAGAGAAGGAAGAGGGGTGTCCTTTTGTGGAAGCACTAAAAACTCAAAGGTACTTTGGTTGCCAGGTCTGTGACAAAGCTCTGTCTCTCTTCCCACAGGTGCTGCACTCGGCTGCCCGCTACTGCAGGAGCATCTTGGATGACAACAGCTCTTCTGCCCTCATTATCCTTGGCTTTGTCATCATGTCCCCTCTCATTGTGGTGGCCATGGCTATCTACTGCAGCCTGGCAAGGCGCCTCCGCCTCTTCATGTGCTTCCAGCCGTACAGCAGGGCTGTGTACAAGGGGGTGAAGTGGCGCTGGTACGAGGAGGGAGGTCTCTGCAGCTGTGCCAAGGGGTGGAACACTCAAGTCAAGGCCTGGGTATGAATTGGCAGCACCAGAGGCCCTGCTGTAGTCAGCACCTGCTTCTTCCTGCCCTGTCCATCTCCACTGTCACCTCCTGAAATCACCATCGTGAAGTCTCTGCAGATGAAGGCTAGGTAGCACCTAGATGTGAGAGGAAGGAGATCTGTTAATGAGCCATCTCCTACAGCTTTGTGAGTGGGTAGGATTCTGCCCACCATGAGGGAAATACAGAAAACAAGACCTTGGCAGTAAAGACGATGTTCAGCCCTGAAAAGAAGAGGGTCTCCTCCCAGTGCCTGTTGCATTCAGAGCACGGGGCTGCTTGTGGTGGTGACAGCATGTTCTGCCTCAGCTGGGACGTAGAGTATGTGTGTGCAGGGTTGGACAATGGTGAGAGCAGCTGCTGGCTTTGCTGCACACCTCGGAGAGGTGTCTTTGGGAAATGCAGCCCTTGGAGCACCCAGCCAAGAGGAAGCAACTGTGGTTTTCCCATGTGTCAGACTGGTGACATTTCTAACCTCTTGTGAAGGTGTCTGTAGGTCACTGCCTCTGTGATGTTTGGGATGTATCACTTCCCTACGCAGCAGATATTCTTCCCCAATTTAGCAATCCCTCCTTTCCATACCTATAGCAGTGCTTATGCTCCTTTTGCTGTTCCTGATGTGCCATAAGTCACAGCTGAGTGAAAAGCAGAGTGGATGTGAAAGGTCTGGTGGGTGGCAGCTGGGTGCATGATTCCCTCCTTCCAGATCACTGTGGGTCCCTGGAGCTGGTGGGGTCTGTGTGCTGCTCATCTGTGCTCCCACTGCCTCTTGTTCCCCCCTCTCCCAGATATAACCATTTCAAGTGTTGTGTATAAATAAAGATTGTGCCAAATCTCCACCAAGGGAGTTTCTCTGCTCTGTCTCAAAGCAGTGGCTGCATCAGAAACAGCCATGTGGTGCTGTTGTACCACAGGATTTATCACTGTAAGTTAAAATGTGATTTTTGCTTGCTTTCTGAGGATTGTTTTTTTTTTTTTTTTTCCAGTCTGTGCAGTGACCAGATCCTGGGGGATAGCTCTATTCTCCCTTTGTTGTGCTTGGTATAGGGTGGGAAAGACACACACAGAGGATGGAAAATCTTGGAGAAGGCATCAGCAGGCTGTTCTGGATCCACGGGGCTAATAAAGTAGTCTTCCTTCAATTAGTTCCTTTAATTAAGAGCCAACTTAGAGTCAGGAGCACATGATCATCTCATGTTGTGCTTCAGCCCATGAGAAGTGAAACATCCATTAAAAAAAAGAATAAATTGCTGTTGATTGCACTGCTGGCTGTGTTCACTGCCAGTCTTCCCTCTTGGTGTGGCCTTCTCCGTCCTCTGCTGTCAGTCTCTGTCTCGTCTTGAAGAGTTAAAAGGGGAGAAATAGTTGTAAGTTTCTGACAGGACTGAGGTAAAACAGGAAAGTTCCATTTCATGACAAGGAGATGCTGTGCTACAGGATAATAAGGTTTTGCCTGGAGGCAGTGTTTGCTGCCTGTGTAGAGATCTGAGCTGAGCTCTGGTTCCTTTTGCTCACCTGTCATTTACTCCAGCTGAGGTTCCTTTTGCTCACCTGTCATTAAAAAAAAGAATAAATTGCTGTTGATTGCACTGCTGGCTGTGTTCACTGCCAGTCTTCCCTCTTGGTGTGGCCTTCTCCGTCCTCTGCTGTCAGTCTCTGTCTCGTCTTGAAGAGTTAAAAGGGGAGAAATAGTTGTAAGTTTCTGACAGGACTGAGGTAAAACAGGAAAGTTCCATTTCATGACAAGGAGATGCTGTGCTACAGGATAATAAGGTTTTGCCTGGAGGCAGTGTTTGCTGCCTGTGTAGAGATCTGAGCTGAGCTCTGGTTCCTTTTGCTCACCTGTCACTTAATCCAGCTGCTTTTACAAGGAAAATTCTTCAGCCTGGCTGTGGGGTGAGTACCGTGCTGAACTATTCCCATTTCTGCAGGAGAAATTAAGAGTTAATGGCAACAGCCTTCCTAATACAGCAAAAATTAATTTAATTTGGTATTTTACTTTACAGAGAGTTTTAATAACAAAGGGGAAATGAATCTACCTGGAGAACACCCTTCCTCCCTGCAGCAGAGCAGAGTTCATGTCAGATAGCTCAGGCTGTCCCTCGGGGGTGTCCTGGCACGGGCAGGGACACAGCGATGCCCTGCGAGCGCTGCCGTGGCTCTGAGGGGGATCTGCTTTGATCCTAAATTTCCTGCAGAGAGCACAGAGGCATCCCGAATATCCTCATCTTTGGGTGAAATCCTGAGGGCAGCTGTGCCAGGCAGGGGCTGTCCCCGCAGATGCTGGGGGAGAGGGTGCTGCCAAGTGATGCCTGTCTCTTTGGAGCTCTCAGAGGGGGCTTTGTTCCCTGACTCCCAGCCCAGTGCTGGGTTTGAGCACAGCTCTGCTTGGACACCTGCAGGAGGGGGACAGAAAGAAATGTGCTTTAACCATTTTTTCTTTTTTTTAAAGCCCAACTATGTATGGATTTAAATTCCCTACAACATCCTCTCCATAATTCAAAGCCATGGCACTAACCTGGTACTGAGCTACCTCAGGAGATGCTCAAATGTATTTCCACCCCATAAGGCTCTGGTCGGGTACAGTGTGTGTTTGTGCTTCCCTGCTCCTCTGTCATCACTGGGTGGTCCAGATCCACAGCTGATGAAATCACTGCCTGGATGCCACATCCCAGTGGGTGTTAATTTATGACTTAGTCCTTCACACCAGGGCTGGAAGAGGCTGTTCTGGCAAAGGGGAAAATAAAAGAGACATGGTTGGCATGTACTTTGGAGTTGCACAGCCACTCCTATGTGGTGCCTGAGAATGTGCAGTAGAGAGATGGGCTCCTAAATCCACACACAGAGGATGAAATCCCCTACAAGGCATCAGCCTGAGAGTTCTTCTCCATCACCCGTGAGTACGACCCAGCCGGCCTGGTAAGACACAAAAAGTTCTCCAAGGCTGTGAAAAAATACCCAGGAGGGTTGTGCTGAAAACCTTGCTCTGTGCTTTGCAAAATCAACCGACGTTCTGCAGGAGCGTTTAATTTCTGCAGTGTGAATTCCCAGGATAGAAAATCACCCAGAAAGAACCCAAAGTGCTGACAGCCGGTGCCAAGCAGGCGATTTGCCTTGAGCTATAGCAGGGTGTATTCTGGGTGTGAATAGAGGAGACAAGCTTCTTCGAGGCAGGTTGATGGGAGGTAAAAGAGGAGTGTGATGCAGCTGCAAGGGAGGGAATGAGTCCGAATGTGTAAAAGTTTCCTCCTCGCAAGGAAGGGCTGTTAGAGCCTGTCCAACTCCACGACACGGAGCTCATTACCTCACCCCTCCACTTCCATGGGCAGACTTGGTCATAGGCCTCAGCATCACTGTTGATGGAAGCTTTATATAGAGATTATATATGGATTTAATATGTCAGAAGTGAACTAACAGGATTCCATGAGCGGCAGGAGGAAGAGCTTCTCCCAACATACAGCCCTGTGAAGGAATTTCTCTGATTCGTACCGTGCGTAGGAGCTAGTGAGGAATAAGCCCAGGTGCTCCTGAGATAAAGAACAAATTCTGCTCTCACACAAGCACAGATCTGGCAAAGCATTATGGAAATCAGCAGAGACACTCTAGATTTGCAGAAGGGTAAATGAGAGGATGCTTCAGGCCAAGGGAATGCAGAACCTGTACAAAACACAAGGAAATTGTAGGCCAGTGGGAACCAGGCACTAAATAACCAGGTCCCTGCCTCCCCATGTTTGCTGGTTGAAGCCTCCGAGTCCAGGAAAAATTCTGGCTGAAATGTTTGAGCCATTTCCCAGCACTTTCAACTGGGTATTGGTCCTCTGATGCCTTCGGTTATTGGAGCCCTCAGCCGGGGACACTGCAAATAAGAACCATCTGTCAAGCTGAACTGAAATCAGGACGATCTTCTTTCGGAGCCAAGGACAACACAGCATTTATTGGAAGGATGCAAAATTCCTCCTTTGAGGGAGGCTGGAGGAAAGGGAGCTGGAACCTGCGGCACGTACCATGAGAAGCTGAATTTGACCATTTGATCGAGCCAGGCTGAAGGCTGAGCTATTTTCTGAGCCAGGCTGAAGGCTGAGCATCCCACCTGCTCCCGAGGGTGCTCTGGGAGCCTGGTGGAGGGAATGATCCCAGCTAGAGCCCTGCAGCGTGTAGCAAAAAGAAAGGATAGGGGCTCTGGGTTTTGTTTTTGAGATATTTCCCCCACCCAGGATCCAGCAAGGTGCATTAAAGGGAACCAAATTCAATGTGAATTGTGAGCACTCACACCCGGAGGGCTTCTGCTGCTTCTGGAGAGTCAGCGTTACCCATCTCTTGCAAAAAAGATTGGTTATTGCTCTCAATATCATCCCGGGCAGTTTAATAACCCATGTGCTTAGTTTTCTGGGCATAACTCTCTAGGCTAATCTGGCTGGGATCTGCATGGTAATATCATTCCAATGACATCTGTGCTGGACAATTCCTTTTGCTCTCTATATTTGTGTCGCTAACTGCTTAATTATAACTTGAATGTCTTTGGGGAAGTTTCCATTGTCTTCCTTCACCTCCCTTCTCTTTCACTAAGCTAATTACTCACTGATGATTGGTTCCAGCTCTGCTGGAAAATTTGGTGAGAATGAATGGAAGCGATTAAACAAAGAATAATCAGGGAGTGCCTGCCAAGGGCTTCTTCACTCAGTTGTTGATCTTCCCAGTACATCAGTGCCTGCAGAATGGGTGACAGAGCCAGACCCTGTCCTGGGAATAATCCGCCTGGGACCTGCCTGGGTGCTGCTGGTGAGTACCATGCAAACGAAAGGGATGAAGGTGAGAATGAAAGCGGCAATTTAACCTGGGTTTCTGGTACAGCAACGCCTCCGCCTACATCAAACTAGTCCCTCACAGCAAAAATGCCCTGAACTTTCTCCCAACCCCAGCTTCAGATTAGCTGCTCCATTCTGGGCCACAAAACCACCCCCTGAATCTGTGCGGAGATGCTCTAGAGGAGCCTGAGCTGTGGGTTTGTGAGCTGCGACACCAGATGCGGGGCCAGGAGACAGGACTGGGCTGATCAGGACCATGGTGTGAATCTGTGCGGAGATGCTCTAGAGGAGCCTGAGCTGTGGGTTTGTGAGCCACAACACCAGATGTGGGGCCATCAGGACCATGGTGCTTCTTGGGTTTGCGTCTGGAAGTGCATAGTTGGATTGGCATCTGGCTTTTTGGTCCCCATTTAGCTGTCTGTCATCTTCAAGAGTAGATTTAGATTAGATAGGTGTTTCTTGGGTTTGCGTCTGGAAGTGCATAGTTGGATTGGCATCTGGCTTTTTGGTCCCCATTTAGCTGTTCAACATCTTCAAGGGTAGACTTAGATTAGATATTAGGAAGAAATTCTTTGCTGTGAGGGTGGTGAGAGCCTGGCCCAGGTTGCCCAGAGAAGCTGTGGCTGCCCCATCCCTGGAGGGGTTCAAGGCCAGGTTGGAGGGGGCTTGGAGCAACCTGGTCTGGTGGGAGGTGTCCCTGCCCAGGGCAGGGGTGGGACTGGATGGGCTTTTAAGGTCCCTTTCAATCCAAACCATTCTATGAGTCTATGATTCTATGAATTACCTGTCATCTCATATATCCTTCGCAAAGGCGTGATGCAGCGTGTTCTTTGCTGGAGGAGCAACCCTTCCCTTGTGTGCCCAGGCCTCGAGATGGTGCTGTGGGGCTGAGCCTGGAGGACACGGTTGTGCTCTGGTGCGTCCAAACTCCAGCCAGACCTTTTGAACTGGGACACCAGGTCCTGGATGCTGTGCTCTTTGCTGCCTGTGACTGCAGCCAGCACCACGGATGCCGGGAAG